TTTTTGCTCCCCCCCACAAAATTTTTGTCTTAAAAAATGACTGAAAGGATTATTAAATGTTTCTCAATTATTAGAATAGTTGCTGGTTTTATTTATTTAATCTAACTTCATCCACACACAGGAAAAGAAAACTGCTGAATGCTACAGATTCTCTTAAGTCAGTAGTACGTGACTCTTTAGCCTGAATCTGAAAGTAGGAGTGGTTTTATGAAACCCATTGTGTCGATGTAAGATCATTTATTCACCAAACATGGAGAACTTTACTCAAATAAATTAAAGACATTTTGCCTTCAGGTACGATAGAAGCAGGCAATGTGACATCCAGATTGTACAACAACATAAAGAGTCACATCGACGATGAACTACAAAACAACCAAACATCCTTTCCCAAGGAGGACGATGGTGAGTTGTTCCGCTTATTCTGCACAAAGAGAGGAAATCCCCCCTCCTTATTAGTGCCTTTAAATTTCCTGTACTTAAGTTCTCATTACTGCATACAGCTGAAACACTGTGAAACTACAGTATGTGGTGTGTGTGTGTGTGTGTGTGTGTGCGTGTGTGTGTGTGTGAAGTGGCGAAATACAAAAACATGCACTACTGATACCGAATGAGTTCATAACTTCAGGAAATCAGAAAAAACAAAGAAGCCCTCTACTAAATAAAGCAGCGTATCACAGAAAATCTATGAAAAGGTCCAATTTTATGCAGCAGGAACCTTTGAGTAAGCAATTTAAAACTATAACCTTGGATGCTGTCTGATATTCACATGTGCCTGTTAGTTCATGTACATCAGAAGCATCTTGTCCTTACTCTGCAGAGAGTTTTCAGGACCAGGAAACGAACTACTCAGGGATACGGTGCAATGAGTACATGCAGGTGGAATTCAGCCGCAGCATCTGTGGTACACATTTCTCCAAGAAAATGATGGAAGTCAGCACAGAAAACTGGTGTGACCTGGAAAACATCATCAAGTAAGATGTACTATTTTTTTATTTTGTTTTATTTTGTTTTATATTTTTGTGAGTTATCTATTCTATTTATTGGTATGTGTGCTTGATATTGAGTGTGAACCGCTGCTGAAACAATGCAATTTCCCAGATTGGGATTAATAAAGTATTTCTATCTATCTATCTATCTATCTATCTGCAAGGAGGAATGGCAGAGAATCCCCAAATGCAGGTGTGAAAAACTTGTTGCATCATTCCCAAAAAGACTCATGGCTGTATTAGCTCAAAAGCGTGCTTCTACTAAATACTGAGCAAAGGGTCTGAATACTTATGACCATGTGATATTTCAGGTTTTCTTTTTTAATAAATCTGCAAAAATGTCAAAATTTCTGTGTTTTTCTGTCAATATGGGGTGCTGTGTGTACATTAATGAGGAAAAAAA